AATTAATACTAATAAATATTAATTTATTATATTTAATACATTATAATTAATACTAATAAATATCGGTATGATATGATACAGGTATGATATTAATTTACAAATTATTTGAACTTTTCCATAAAATTAGTTTTGATCAAATTCTAAGTAATAATTTATATATTATAATATTTATATATTATAGATAAAACGAAAGGAAAGTCAATGATACGCGTTCTTTCTTTATCCTTCCTTTTATTTTCTATGTTAACAAATATTTATTATTTTATAGAACTTACAAGTAGTTGTAGTCACAGTAGAGCTTACGAATTTTACGCGGAATCGATTAGAAACCATGGAGCTTTCATTGGAAAATGTCATTCATTAAATAAGTGCAGCGGCGCTGAATATATTCCAATGGGATATGCGACACCAAGCAATGCGTTAGTATAAATTTTAGTTATTTTTTAATGTATATCGCTTCAAATTATTTATATCATTTTAACATAAGAATTTCCGTTATTCTTTTTCAATGCAAAAAAAAATAATAATAGAACATTTCTATAAAATTATCTTTTACAAAAAATTCTAAATTTCTTCTTTTTTTGTTTTTGTTTCTTTCTTATATAAATAATTTTTGTCTATTGTTCATTTTAATAATCACTTTAATATTTTTAGAACGGGTAACTATTATCTCGTAACAAACTCAAAAAGTCCTTATGGCCGAGGATTTGCAGGAGCAACTTTTAATCCACTTCTAATTACACCTATACCAACTTAATTACATTTAATGTTGTGAATGATATATAAGATGAATTGCATAAGAAATTATATAAAAATTATATAATTTTTCATATATTTAACATATAAAATAAATGATTATTATTTTATTTCTATTGAAAAAATAAATATGAAATAAATTTCCTTCCAATTCTTTCTTATTGTAATAATAGTTTCATTGTAATAAGATTTATTAAAAAATTTTACTCGTTTCCAAAAATTAAACAATTAAAATTTTAAAATTTAAAAATTTTAACTATCATGTGTTAAAAAAAATATATAATTTTTTTTATAATTTATAGAATCTGTAGTATCAAAGCGATTTCATTAAATCTTAACGAAATTGTAACAATGAATATGGAAATGTGTTACGTTGTTCAAAATGTTTCTGTAAATAGAATAAAAATATTAAGATAATTTTTTCTTTTCCACAAAAAAATATATTTTCAATTTTTATTAAATGAAATTTCTTTGAAATACTTTATGCCATATAAATAAAAAATGATTCAGAAATAATACTGGATTTGAAATGCTTTTTAAATCGAATGGATATTAATACAAAGTATTAATATATTCATAGCATATAAAAAAAAATCGATTCCATAAATCAAGATAAATGGAAAAGTTAGTACAATATAAACGATATAATAATATCGATTAATAATAAAATAATTAAAGTTTGTATTAATAAATAATAGTAATAAATAAATTTAATTTTTTTATTTGTTTTCGTTTGTAAAAAAATAAAAGATTCTCTCGAATATATTATCATTTTGAATATATTGCATTAATATAATGCAATTAAAAATGAAAAGATATAATAAAGTATAATAAAGTAATATAACATGATGAAGTGGAAAAAAGATGAATGCTTAATACATAATCATATAAAAATATAATAAATAATAGCAATAGAAAATTTGTTCCATTACATACATCTTTAGCTACACTTAAATGGTCCTAGAAACAATAGAATAAAAAAAAATAATATTATTATTAAAAATGAAATTTCTAAAAATATTAAGTATTAAATTTTTTTTCTTATTATTAAATATTTCAATATTTATTATTTATAAATTATTTAATTAAAAATTTAATTGCTCGATTGGAATCAAAATCGTTATTATTATGTTTTTATGTTAATCTGATATGAAATCAATTCTTATAGTACATAATTATAATATATTTTATTTGTTATGTATTTAAATATTTTAATTATATGTAATTAAATATTTAAATTATATGTAATTAAATATTTTAAATATAAGAAAAACTTATACTAAGATAAACTTAATACTTTTAGATAAAATTGAACCACAAAATCAAAAACATTTTTATTTTAAATGAATTATTTTCTAATAAATACATATTAAATATTTAATATAATTCATTTATAATTTTTTTATCTATATCATTAATATTAATATATTTAATATTAGCATTGTATTGTAATTTTAAATTTATGTAAATCAATATAATTTAATCTTCTTTAATTTTTTAATGTTATCTACATCTGTTAAGTATGTAAATATTTGAAATATTACCACTATATATATATATATGAAATGATTATTAAATTAACTAAAAAAATATAAGGATTTGAAGATTGGATAAGAATTTACAGATTGTATAATTGATTGAAAAGTTGATTCATTTTTCAATATGATTAAGAATCGTTTCTGTCTTTTCG